ATACAGTTGCTAGAAAGTTGTTGGCGGGTTTTGGGGAGGAGGGGGGTTGGTTTTGGGGTTTTTTTGTACTCCATCTTGTTGTCCTAAAAGTAAGCTGATGTCTTCACGAAGGAATTAAGCGATATTGGTACCAGTCTGTTAGTAAATTTAAGTTCTGAAGGGTTTGGGATTAAATAATGCATGATGTGTGACTTGCATAATATTTTTTTCCCATCCTCCTGTAAGGTTTCTGTTGAAATGAGAAAAGTATTCTTTTCAACCCAACCAGATAAAGTACCATGGTGGCTAGCAAAAAATATACTGTAGAGCTATAGATCTGTGGAACTATAGATCATTTTAGTATTAGTCCACTTTTTCTCCAAATAATGGGGCATTGTAAAGATAATATAGATACTTTAAAACTTCCCAGCTGCTAGAAGACATGCTATTGCATGCTGCCAGTGTTTTCAGGGTTTATCTTTCTCTTTCATTTATAAAGCATCTCCTAGTGCTATAAATAGGAGGCAGGTCTGTGAAGGGATGTCTAGATTTCATCTGATTTCTTTTATAATTAAAGTTCCTGAGCACTGCAGATAAGACTGCTAGGCTCCACTGAGTGGAGAGGCTCATCAACTCTTGAGAGTATTTTGTAATCTCCACTAATATAATTTATTTTTAAGGTTCAGGTTTCAAAGAGCCTATGGCACTTTCAGAGGGCTATCCATGCAGAGCTGTATTTCCCTTTGAATTCTTGTAAAACTATATAGTCATTTTATTTTATTGTGAAATATGTTTTTTTTTAAGATAGAAACTGGTTATAGTTTTGGTTCACGCAGTTTTAATTGCTGATTGGCTATTTCCTCGTCATGACTTGCAAGCTGCATAACCAGTCAGGATTCTTAACTTTCCCGTCCTTTTCTGCTCTTTCTAATATACACTGGTATTTTCTAGCTTCATTTTCTGACTAGCCTTAGATTAAAAATACTGGTTTGCTGAGTTTCACATTTGCAAAAGCTAGAATGACTGACATGGGAGCCACTTGATGACATTTTAACTGGAAAAGATAGACATCCCAAAAAATAGAAGTAGATTATTACTAGAGTATTATTCAAAGGTTGTTTTAAATAAACAAAACAAAACAACCCCTAACTTACTGGGATATAGAAAAACAATTAACTGGTAATTTCTGTTTCTGCACTCACTGTACATTAACCTGTGATTGATGGTATCTGTCCAGCTGTGAAGCAAAAGGCTAGGAGGAAACACTGACCTTTGAGACGGGTCCCGACGTATGGGGGAGAGGCACAAATAGCAATGATACAAACTTGTGCTGCTGTTTTGTGCCTCATTGCACGCCCCTGCACATGCACTTGAGTGCACAGCAGATTGTCCTGATTAGAGGTAGGGGAGGCTGGGGACAGCACCTGTGCTAGCCTCAGTAGTCTTGCCTGGTGGCATGCTGGGGCAGCAGGAAGGGCTGGCATTGCTCTGGACAGCCAAGCCTCCTCCATTTTTGCCAGGTTTCACTTGTTTTGTATGTGTTTGTGCTGCTTTTTGTTCAGGCACTTTTTTTTTTGCTTTACAACTGGGATTTCCCAGTAGCAAATTTTGCTACCACTCTTGATAAACTGCAGTCCGGTACACGCTTTCACATGGCACCACAACGCGTGGGTCCCCCTGCACGTTGGGGACCCGCACTTGGTATCTACTTCTAAGCCAGTAGCATGAGAAGGGCCCTAGAGTAAACTTCCTCTACTTAGCTGTCTGATTAATTGGTACCAAAATGAAGAAATTACATTTTAAAAATTCTTATTTCTTTTCTGGACTCTTCCATAAAGGTTCTCTTGAGATTTTGTTCTGAATAGGTAAGACTTTTAGGATGTTTTTGTTAGGGCTGTGCGAAGCTTTGGTAGCTGATTTGATTTGGAGGAGGTTCAGCCCGATTGAGGGACTGAATCTCTGAATCTGAATCGAATCAGGAGACCAAGTAAAAGCTTGAAATTGATTCGAAGCATCCAAATCAATTAGGAAAAGGTTTGGCTGATTCGGTGATTTGGCCATAGACTAAACAGCCAGCTAACAAGTCTGTTGGGGTTGGGAGAGGGAGGGATTGGAACTGGGGCTGGGCCAACAGGGACGCTTTACTTGGGGAGGGAGCTGGGGGGCACGGGATGCGGGTGTGGCAGTGCTGGGAGTGGGGGCTCTGCCCTGCTACCGCTTGCCCAGCGGGGGGGTGGGATGCACGTGTGGCTCACTCTGGGTGGAAGGGGGCAAGTGGCAGCAGGGCAGAGTCCCCACTCCCAGTGCTGGTGCAGGCACAGCAATGCTGGGAGTAGGAGCAATGCCCTGCTGCTCCTCAGAGTGAGCCATGCCTGCATCCTATTCCTCACCCCCCCCCCACCAGTTGGGCAAGCGGCAGCATGGCATAGCCCCTGCAGCTTCCCCTGCCAGGGCAGAGGTAGGCACAGCTGGAGTAGTCATGGGAACCCATGGCTGCACTGCCCAGTCCAGCCTCCTGGCACTTTTAAAAAAAAAAAAGAAAAAAAGCCCCACACTCACCGGCTGCAGGAGTGGTGATTGGGGCCTCTGTGGGCTTATGGCACAGTCCCCTGCGCTGCACGGGGCAGTGAAGATTGCCCCCCCGCCCCTCGCTTGGCACCTGCATGGCAGCCCATGGCACGGGTGCAGCGTGGCTCAGCAGGGCATTGCGCACTGTTTGGGAGCTGGGACAGCTCCAGTAGTCAGCTGGAGCCCAGCAGCGCTCAGACTCTTGAGCCACTCCTGCAGCTGGTGATTATGGGGCTTTTTTTTTTGGTGCCAGGACTAGGCTGAGGCTGGGTAGGGGATGGAGCCAGGCAGGGCAGCCATGGGGCCTTCTCCCACAGCTCCCCCACTGCCCGGGGAGAGGCAGGGGCAGGCCGGGGGGGCACACCGGGCGGGCCG